GGCAATGGAAAGACCGTGGCAATGGAAGGATCGTGGCAATGGAAGGACCGTGGCAATGGAAGGACCGTGGCAATGGAAGGACCGTGGCAATGGAAGGACCATGGCATTGGAAGGACCGTGGCAATGGAAGGACCAGAATAAATCTGGCTTGGATGTAGTACACCTGGAAGGCTCCTTAAAACCAAACGCTGTCTTCCTGACTCTGAATGTGCTATCAGGAGAGACCAGGCCCTGGCAAAGGACATGCTTGGTAAAGGGTCAGCAAAATTGTGGAAGTCCCTCCACAAGAGATTGTCACCTGGGCTCAAACACCCGTGAAGGCACAGGACTGGACAATTTTGTTCTGTTGTGCAGGAGGTTGCTTTAAGTCGGGGGCAGTGTGATGGCGCCACACAACTAAAGGACGGAGAGGTGATGTCAGAGAGGACAGTGCTAAGGCCGTTAGGAAAAGCTGGACATTTGAGACAGCGTTAACCACTGGCGGACAGAAACCACTGTATGCCGATCCTTGCAAATCACCCATGCAGTGACTACTACCCCAAGGTGTCCACACGAGGCCGCCAGCAGCTCGCACAAGGCCTGGTAGCCTGCTTCCGTAGACCACAGCCACATGTGGAGTGGCTGTAATGCTGATCAACTTCACACAACGGTTTTTTAAAGTCTGTTTTTCACACATCTCTTCAAACCTTCTCCAGGTTCTCTTTAAGGAGGTATAACGTTAGTCCCCTACGTTTCAGGTCTTTGGGGACCAAACCTTGACTTCTCCATTGTAGCCTAGAGTGAATCAGAAAGTTCGTCTGAAAAGGAACATGCTGTATTCGTTCATTTCCTACATAATGTGTTCTCGAACATTCCATAAAACAAGCAAATGCAAAGATATGACAAAATACCCATTTATAAACTATCAAGGGCTCATGCGGGAAGGGGGAGCAGGGAGGGAGGGGAAAAATGAGGACCTAATGTCGGGGGGGTTAAATGGAGAGAAAATGTTTTGAGAAACGATGTACAAATGCGCTTTACACAATTGATGTGTGTATGGATTGGGATAACAGTTGTATGAGCCCCTAATAAAATGTTAAAAAAAGAGAAATATATATATATATATATTTATATATATATATATACACACACACACACACAACAAAACATTCTCCAATTCAATAAAATTCTGCTTGTATAAAAATAAATAAATAAAACCTAAGGAATGAAAAAAATAACAAAATTCAAGCAGAAAAAGAAATATACATATTAATAGTTTAAAAAAAGACAAGCAAATGCACATGTAGGTAGTTGCGCATTTCATCCACGTAGGTGTCTCGTGACAATCTTGAAGAAATGAGGGGCCGTTTGTTTTCTGAATTATCAAGATTCTTGCATGGGTCAGCCCACTTTTTTCTGTATGTTTAGTTATTTTCTAATTACTTAGAAGCCTGATGCTTGTCACCTACTGTATTAGTAAAAAAATAAGTAAACTGGATTTGTGAGCATGATTTTCCTCATTCATCATACTGTATATAACTGAAAATGAGACATATTTGAATCTAGCCTTTTGCTCCAAGCAAATATGCAGGGGCACATAACTATCCAAATATCTAAACACAAAGCACTAAGTCTTTTCAAGGATCTCTGGTGGCACAATGGGTGAAACAAGGCCAGAGCAGGTCTACTTCAGATCAGTGACACTGTCTACTCCCAGGAAGGTCTATTAGTCTCTGAAACCCGACAGAACAGTCCTGCTCTGTAAGGTCACGATGATTCAGAATCAACTCGCTGGCAGTAAAGGGTTTTTTTTTTGCTTGTGTTTTACAACTAGAAATCACACTGGTCCTTCAGGGTTACACGAAGTGCTTTAAAAAGTTTATTTTGTGCTAAGGATATTTTTCTAAAGCATTACAAAATTATACATCCAGACTCTTCAATGACAGAGTATTTAACATTCTAGAAAACTGTTGTGCCTTAGGATACTAAAAATCTGGTGGATTCACACCACAGCAGAACCCAGGAGAAAGGAGGCATTACAGAAACCATCTACTACGTAATGAACAGGTGATTCATTCGGAATCTGCTTCTTTTTGTCTGTGTTTGTAGTAAATATGATTCCTCTAGCACCCTCACCTCTTCCCGAAAGTGAACAACTGTGTTCTAAGTCTTTACAAAGTAAAAGCAGCTTTAATGAGCCATCCTGCTGACCTCCACCTGTGAAACACCACACACTGAAAGTTAACAAAATACAGGAGAGTGTGCCATTTTACGAATTGTTACAATGAAAAATACCAAGCATACACTGACTTTTAAAAATCAATTAAGAACTTCGTGTATGTATAAACAAAAATACATTGAAAACACTGTATTTTTTCCTGAGTAGAATGCAAACTTTATTTTCTATCAAATGAAGCTTCTCTGAGCTTTGGATATGCAAATATAAGGCTCCTCCACAGTGGCAAATAAGAAAAGGAATGTTCACCACACATCAAATAAGAAATGAGCATTCAACTTCACATCCAAAGGAAAACGTTCGTGTAGAGGTTCAACAAGCCCAATGGGAATATCTGAGATGAGTGGCCAAAATTTTAAATATTCTATTGATGGCTCTCCAATTTTAAGGATCTTTCAGTATGAAACAAAACCAAAGTAAAAAGCACTCTTTCTACCAAAAAAAAATTTTTTTTTAATCCAAATGATTACCATTTACTTTAACTGGGAAAATTCAAAAGTAGCTAGCTCATGGTAAATAGAAAAAGACAAACCATACACTGAAGAGAGGGGAACAAAAGAGGCAATCACCAACTTTATAGGAATCAAAACAACACCACGGACTCAGAAAAGCTGCCTAAAAAGTAACATATTCTGTTTACCAGACAACTCTGATTAAAGTAAGGTAGTTTTTTATCAGCTGCATAATCTATCAATGAGAAGCTTCAGGATCATATCTCTAAAAAGATCACAGAGTTGTCATTAAAACATACATTCCTTTAAACAATGGGCAAAATTCCCATTTATGGGAAATAGGTTGTTGTTTTTTTCACACAGTGAAACTAAGAAAAATTATATCAAATGAGAAACTTTTCTCTAAAGTAAATCTGTTAGTACCTCTTCTTAAATACTCCAATAATGCAATACTTGGAAATGTAAATTCTCAACTCAGGCTTAGGACAAGTTATCATTAAACAAGTTTACCTCACATCTTACTGCTTGGCACCAAATTTTTCAAAGATTAAAGAATTGTTAAAACCACCATGCTAGTCATAAATCATATTTCAAACAATTATACCTAGGTACTACCTTTATTTTCTGGAGATACATTGCTCAATCTAATGACAATCTATTCTGTACCCTGCACTGTAAAGTCAAGTAAGGGTTCACTCCAAACCCCCCGAAATGGTCTTCTTTGTCAAAACCATGGTAAAATATTTATGAAAATTAACTAAGATTTCTCTGTGGCTGGCAAAGGGCCCACAGAACGCTGTCTGATGGCACCCTGCGCCAAGTCTGTGCTTGGGCCTCTCCTTTCGGCTTCCTCTTCTGAAACATCTTCTTCCTCAGTCTCGTGCTCCTCCTCCACTTTTTTCAAAGGTTGAGAAGATTCTGGTAATAATTTTTCTTAAAGATAAAGAGCAACAATGTGTTTTCTTGACATATTAGATTCACTTTAGCATAAAAGCAATAGCTATTCACAGTGGGATAATGTTTCACATATCTATAGTTCACTTAGATTATCTATAATATTTTAGGATTTCTAAACAATAGATCCTATAAAAGTAAAATTTTGTTTAGAAGATCTGTTCTACTTACCAAATTCATTCTAACTATCCATCTATTTTTAAGTTGAAGTGAAATTAATGAACTCCAATTATTGGTGTGAATATGAAAGTATAAGAAAACATACTACATTAACTAGAACTACCTTACATTCATATCAATTTGTTACTAAACATTTAGCCATGTGAAATAAATGGAATAAACCTATTAAGTTCATAAAGTTAATAGATAAAAGACATTAACTTCAAAACTACCCTTGTATTATTCCTGAGAGATCAGAGCACAAAGTCACATTTCTGGTCAGAGGCTAGAGATGTCCTCATCTTTTTCATCTGGTGTCCTAGTGTGCCTGCTTCCCTTCCCCCGTGTTTCCACACGCTTATTAAAATGTAATTACAAGCAATAAATGATAAAAATATAGGGAATATATAACCCAATGAATTTTTACATATATACACAGGCCTTTTCTATTTTTTATAGGGCCCACTGCTAATTGACGTTTGCTTACAGCCATGATTGTCACTGAGACATATAAGACAGAATTGGGCCAATAAACTTTATGTGTTCATTGATCCCAGGCTGCCCCTAATCCTAGACGATGCAGAACGGGGGCAGGGGGAGACTGTAAGATGGACAATGGAGAGAAATCAGTACAAGGGAGACAGTCTCTGTCTGGCCTGCCTACCTAGCACCTCTCTCTTTCTGTTGGGCTAACTAACAGCGCGTCCTGGATGTCCAGCCCATGTGAGGCTGTGACTGCCAGTTCACAGCAGCCCGGAGGTTAGGATGTGTCGCTCAGGAAACACTGGGCAGTATCAGGAGAAATTTCTGGTTGGCACACTCCTGGGTGAAGCACCTAGTGAGGTGCTGAAGTATTTTATAATGTACAAGACCATCTCTCACAACGAAGAACGCTCCTGTCCAAACTGCCCGTAACCTGACTGAGGTTGAGAAACCCTGCACAAGTGATTGACCCGAGAGTTCACTCAAGAACCACCTAGAGGGCCTCCCGAGGTAAGAAGAAAGTGGGTTGCCTTCTTCACTGTGAGACTGAGTGCTCTCTCCTTCTAGAAGCATCTGCTACTGACTGGAAAGAGCCAGGCAAGATACAGGTTCTAAACAATGAAAACAGCTTCTTGACAAGGTCACCTGAGCCCCAGACCAGCCAACTCTGTCCTCAAACTTCCTTGCAGCATGAAACACCACATTCCTATCTTCCTTAAGAAGCTAATTGTGTTTCTTTCCTCCACACCTGAAAAAAACCAACCAAACCTACATCCTGGAAAACACTTCAAATCACGCTGTCACTTATAGAAGGAGAGGGCTGGTGCGCTGAAGGATGGGCAGTTGTGTCCCATAATCATGTGCGCAGCAAACTGATTATGGGTCACCCCGATAATGAGAGCATTACAAAGCCGTCTTATAGGATTCATAAAGGCCTGACGGGACAAGTATAGTTACTTCCATGTCACCAGAGGAAAACATACTCAAGAGAAGTGAGAACACTTTTGGCAGACCCTTTTAAGGGTAGAGCTGTGAGCACCAGTTGCTCCACAGAAATGTGTAGCAGTCGTGCTTCTGTAAAGATGCACAGCTAAGGAAACCCTTTAGCAAGTTCAACTCTGTCGGGGTGGGGGGAGCTATAGGCTAAAACCAACTCAACAGGCTTTTATATATGCTTAGTATTAATACAAATATCTATAAAATGACATGCAATCCATCAGTCATTCAATGGACTATGAGAACTGTAAATGTAATCTTGTTTGAGCTATCCCCACTGCATCTCTAGTGATTTTATTTAACAAGTTTTCACCTCCTTAGTTTAAAAACAGGCAATATCTGTCAGGCCAGTTCTACTCTCAGCTGTCATTGTGGTGTGATTCTGAAGAAATATGTCATCCCTCTGAGCCCCAGTTTCCTCAGCCACAGATGGTGGCGTACCACCTGGGCAGCCTGTTAAAGAGCGCTGAGAGCGAGATGAGGAGAAACAGGAGTCTGGTCTTTATAAGCTGGCAGATGAGGGCTGCCTTAACATTATGTTTTCAAGATTAAAAACTAATAATTGGCAATAAATATAGGTAAAAGCACATGCTTCTAATTACGTGGACTTGTTGTCCAGTACAGGACAGGGTCAATGTCAACCCTCAAAGAGCTTGATGGGGCGCTTCTCCTAAGATCCTACCCCCCAAATTACAACCGCTGGCAAGCAAATCATCATCATCGAACGCAGTCACTGTGGTAATGAGCAACTTCAATAGTACAATTTAAGCTACTTAAATTTCTGACAGGTATATTCAAGCAGACTCAAATATGAAACTTCCAAATAAGTAGATAGCAGATGAAAATTATTAAGTGTCTCAAAGTTATTAAATGTCTTGAGATTATATGCAATCTTAACAATTTCCCTATTAAAAAAACCCCAACAAGATAGCAATGTCTAAAACCCACTGGGCTGTCATTCTCACATGAAATATATATGTGGGCTTCAAAAAGTTCGTGGAAAAACTCCAGTATCTTTTCATCCCATTTTTTCCACGAATGTCTCCTATCTGCCCCCACACGGTCTGTGGCACAGCGGACACAGAGACCGCCACTCCGCACTGGGAACAAGCTGGGGGACTGTGTCTACAGAAATGAATGGGGTTAGTGACTACACGGCAACATGAAAATGCACACTTACTTGAAGGGTATGGCTGTGGTCTGCGCTTTTTTGAAGGGCAAAGGCAATCTGCCAAAAATATCATACACTGCAAAAACACAGGAAGAAGCTGAAGCGTATACTACTGATAGAACCAGTACAATATAACACATTACCAAGTGGCTGAAAACTCTAGTTTTCCTAATACTCTGGAATACTTACAAGTCCTAAGAACAGTCCAGAAAGCAGGGTTGCGAGAGCAAAGACTGCGTACGAGCCCCACACGGGCAAGCCCAGGCCCTCCACGAAATAGCTGTGGCAAGTCTGAAGGCAGAAGGAAAAGCAAGCATCAACAATTTACAAGCAAAGGTTCCAAAAATGCTTGCGATAAGATTACAAGTTTAGCCCATACCCTGATCCACATAGACAGCTGGAAGAGTGCCGACATACTGCTCATCCTAAAACAAAAGAGAGGGTTGAAACCGATTACAAGGCCCACTTCTAAAATACACTACTTTTGCTTCACTACACCTTTATCTAGTCCATTTTATACTCTCGTTTCCCAAATACAACAGATTTTAAGAGTGGTCTGAAGACAAGTGATATATCACAAATTTAATGATTGTGATTAAAACGTTAATGAATAAAAGTAGTTAAACCACTACTTTGCAACTTCATTGTAATTAACAAAATGTTCTTTTATTGCTTTGACATTAAGCTTTCATCTTAATTTCTCCAATTTAAAAAAAACTCATTTGTTCGAGCAATTCATCCAAAGAATATCTGAGGTTACCTCTTTAGCACAGAGACAATAGTACACTTGGACTTTGTGTTTTTAAGGTAAAAATAGAAACTCATGCAAATGAGGCCCTATGTGAAATTTTGGAGTAATGGGCCATCCCTAAGTTCAAGCCGGGCTTAGGTTGACAGTGAGCAAAGGGCAAAATCCTCCAAAGGAGCAGCTGAGAAGGGACCTCTCTCTCAGCAAGAAGGGACTCCAGAGAAAGAACTGGGGAGAAGCAGCGCAGGCTCCACCCCCACTCTCCTCACTGACCAGCAGTTCCTCTCCAGGGGGCCTCTGGGGAGTCAGAGCTGTTCTGTAACATGTAGAGGGCTGGTCTCTTAACTGGGTAGGTGTGGTGGTTAAGTGAGGGAGTTCTGACAGCTAAAGCACAATTCAATTCAGAAGTCTTTGGGGTTGTTTTGTTTCAAGAAAAGAGCAAGAGGCACGCCAAGGAAAAGTGCTACACGATAGATTTCTACTTCAAAATACTGCTTAGGGCTGGCTGACACCGATACTTCCTTTCCCAGAAGCCGAGGTATTATTATTTCTTCACGGGTCTGTGTCCCAACTCCCCACCCCACAAAGGCAGTGTAACCAGTTAGGAGACTCAAGAGAAGCCTACTGCCATCGGGTCCACTCTGACGCCTAGGGCAGGAGAGTACTGCCCCTGAGGGTTTCCAAGACTAACTCTTCACGGGGGTAGAACGCTTCCTCTTCCTCCCGAAGAGCAGCTGGGGGTTTCGAACAGCTAACCTGACCTTGCTGTTAGCCTAGTACATAACCACTACTCCCCAAGGGGGAGGAGCAGGACTAGGTCATTCAGCCACAGTAGGATGTGTACAAGGTGACCTCAGCACAGCCTGTTATAGCGAAGGAGACGCAGTGACCTGACCTGTGCAGCCCTGTCCCACTGGCACAGCAGGAAGCATGACTGTTATTTCCTCCTCTGACAGCTCCACAGAATGACATGTTCCAGAACTGCTAAGAAGGCATGTAGCTGCCAGCTCAAAACCACTGCCATCGCATCAACCTCGACCCACAGGAGCCCAGAGGGCAGGCTGGAACTGCCCCTCTCGGTTTCTGAGCCGGTCACTCTTCACAGGAGTAGAAAACTCCGTCTTTCTCCCCCGAGCTGCTGCTGTTACTGATGACCTTGTATAACCACTATGCCACCAGAGGGCCACGGTTATCTACAAAGCTCAGGGGTTAGCTACTTCATTCGGGGAACCAACCTCAAGAACGGAAGTCTACAGGGAAAGGGTAAACATCTGCGTCTTCTTCAAAGTGTTAAACTCAGCTGACAGCTCTACATCGCTCACGCGCCTGAGGGACTGTGTCTCTCTCGTGGTGAAGTGACCCCCTCAGAAGCTAAAAGATGCCTGAAAAGGAATCCAACTAATTCTACAGACTCGATCTTTCTAAAGGAAGGAAGTAGTATAATCTTATATATTAATATGCAATAACCCTAAATCCACTGTAAGAATTTAGGAAACAAATGGGGCCTGAATACATTATTTACATGAAGTACAATTATGTTTCAATTAATTCCGAGAAAAACTATTCGTACTTACAGAATAGAGCCAGGCCCAAACCATGACGAAAGAGGTTCAATACTCTTCCATTCTTTTTCACTTATGAAGTTTATGAAGTCCTTCTTAGTCCGTGGGCCCTGGTAACGCCTAAATTCACCATCTTTACAACTACAGAGGATCAAAGTAAAAAATTAAGCTGCACCTCATATATAAGAGATGCTATTTTGCTATTCCTTTACCTCGTTTTATAGTCAATCCTAATATTTAAGATCATTAGTAACACGCAGATGACAAATTATACTAATTATCTTCTCAAGACATTTTGCCCCAAATTTAATTAAATAACGAGCTCACATTTTTAAACAATCATCATTAAGGCTTTATAATTACTTACAAGGAATGAAATCATGGAACACATTAAGTGGAAAAGTCCCAGATATTAAGTCTCATGTACCATACACACGTTAAACGAATACTGAAGAGCCGTTATCATTGTGTCTGGCACACACTAGCAAACTTACGACATTTCACATCCTCACATCACTGCAGCCGCCCTGCCTTAAATCCCTAGTCACTGGCCCCGTCCGTCCCGTCCCTTCTCCCCATGTTTAATCATTCTCCTGTACAGTCTGCTTTGGATTCTCATTACGCTCACTTCATCCTCTTCAGTCCCAATGCACTGCCTCCTGGCAGAGGGATTTGCATTCTCATTTGCCCTCGTATCTTCATTATTTCCAAACGACCCAAAATAATACAGCCAGTCTAATCTGACTTAATTCACACTTCTATTTTCCCCACCTAAACGTAAAAACCTTCCAAGCGCTCCCTACTACCTACAGTAGGGTTAAGAAATCTTCTCCCCACCCAGTACTAGAGACTATAATAAACCCTTCTCCCTGCCCAGTGGAGAAAGTCATTTTGTGGAGAAGCTGACATTTAAATTGTTCTTTGAGGAATGGGTAGGGTTTCAAAAGGCAGAGACGTCACAGAAAAGGAGTAGAGAATCTCAACACTGTTCTGGGGGGTGAGGCATGAAAAGAAGAGGGGGAGACTGCTTACAGCCAGTCAAGAGTCACGGAGGGAAATGGACTGAGGGATGGGGAGAAAGACGCACTGAGGCAGAACAGAAACTGAGAAAGGAACAAGCTCAAAAAGCTCACTGCCACGGGGCCACTCTGACTCAGAGCACCCTAGAGGAACAGGTCGATCCGCCCTGTGCGTTGCTGAGGCTGTGTCAGAGAGCCCCACCTTCCTCCCAGAGCCGCCGGTGGTTTCGAACTGCTGATTTTGTGGTTAACTGCTCAATCCATAACCACGAAGCCAGGGCTCCTGGTCTCTATAACCCCAGTACCTTCAAATACTTACTGATAAATAGTAGGAAGAGCAGTTATCACAAATCGTCCGCTGAGCCCTACAAAAGGACATAAAAGAGGTAGAATAAGTACAGGAGAGCTCACATAATGTGTCTCATATGGGCCAACTATTAGTTACTTAAGGTTAATTCTAAGCTATTTAAATACTAATAGGGAAAGAATATGAAATTATGCCTAGTTGAGCTTTTAAAAAACAATAAAAATTAATTTCAACTATTTACTTAGAACAACTTCAAGAAAACACTATAGAACCTCAATAAAAATATATACATAAAGCTTGAATATTGAGACATTTGTAAATGTATACATAAATATTTGGTTGATTAGATGTGATGAAAACAATAGCGTAACATGACATGTATTGCTTTTGTTTGTTTGTTTGTTTGTTTGAAACAGGAGTGTAAAGTGAAATGAAATTACCTTATGAATAAGGTCCACAACATTAGCAGCTAACATTTATTCTTACCATGGGCCAAACACTGATAAAATTGAAGATTAAGTTCTTTAAGTCTGTTTTCATGTAAGTAAAATGGATTATTTACTATCTCACCAGGCTGTGGGAGGTGTAAACAACAAATGCAAACACACAGAAGCTAGAAACAGTGCAGTGCTCCATAGACATTAGCTGGTCTTACTATGAGTGGCAGGAGACGAACAGGGGGATGAGACTGGTCCGAGAGAAGAGCACCCTCAAGGGCAGGGCAAATTATTTGTTCAGGGGCCCAGCTGAGAGGGGACTGACCTCACAAACCTGAAAGCAACCAGGCTTTTTGGTTTTTCTGCAAATCAAAAGCATTATATCTGGGAACGTCTGATCTCAGAGATCTGGGCCTGCTCTCATCAGCGAATTGAACTTTGACCCTAGAAAACACTCAGCCATTCTGAAACTTGGTATGGTGCAAAGAACTGGTTGGTCAAATTACAGTGGCAAGGGTTCTCAGAGGCACCTTACATGCGATTCTGGGCCCGAGATGCAAACAAGAGATCTGAAGCAGTCATTTGGACAAGAAGGGAGCAGGGGGTGTCCCCAAGGCCCCTGAGAGCAACACACACAAGGAACGAGCTGCATACACCACCAGAAGTCTGTGTTCGCAGCCGGTGTACCCCGAGCCCCATGAAGGGGGGCGGTGGGAGGGGGGCAGTCAGCTGAAGTAGCTGCAGACTGTTATGTTTGCAAAACCGAAGGCGAGGGCAAATGAAGAACTCAAAATGTGGAGGCAGGGATAGACGTAACAACCTACCCTGCAAAGAAACAAGCAAAACAAGCCACAGACTCGGCCTTACCTGGCTGCTCTGTGACATCCACTTTGGCAACATTCACCTCGAGGTCTTCTCCCCATTCAGCAAAACTCTCCCATTCGGGTTGTAGATTTTGACAAGCAGGACACCATGGAGCATAGCTACGAAACAGAGTTAAAAACAAAAAAGGAAGGAAGAAAACAACTAACAATGAAAGGGTATCTAACAATATATGAATAGTTACAAATATAAACAAAGCAAACATAGAGCAGGGGTTAGTATGTACAAATCATTGGTGACCACAGAAACCCCTAGTGTCTTCCCCTAATAATATAACTTTTAAAAAGTGTGACTACATTGACACACACTAAGAGACTCTCCTAGATAAAAACTGTGAAATTTACCATATTTTCTACTGTGGACAGTGCCGGTGACAAAGTACTAATTTTTGTATGTTTCAAATGCAGGTGCATGGGTCTGATGCTCTAGACATCCAAAACTATGGTCTCGTGACACACAAAGCCATTCTCCAAATACAATGTTAAGATACAGAGGCTTTTTCAAACGCAGAGACAGCCCTTGAAGAAAAATCTTGGAATGTCTCTATTAAGAGGTAGCCACCTGAAAACTCCAAGCCAAATCCGGCATTCGCCAATCTCAGGAACACAGCAGGAGTCACAAATGCAAGGTGTTGTGTAAGTAAAAGAAGTGGCCTGGGCGGTGGGCACAACGTGCCTGACCGTTTTTTAGAGTTGGCAGCCACCTGACTGTTGCCACGGGATGGCTTACCTGGTGCAAAAAAAAAACGGAAGAAGCTAGAAATCTCCCTTTCTTGTATTAAACCATGGCTTCAAATTTAACCATGTATATAACTAGACAAGGCAAAGAAATTTTGGGGCAGTCTATGTATCCCTTTTCTAGACATCTGGTTTATAAGTTCTGTGGCCAAACATCAGAGGTGTTCGGAATCTTTCCAAGCCCTGAGTTTTCCCTATGATTTCCCTCAGAATGACCTCAGCACTTGCCTCAGTTTTTCTATGGGACCAGGAATCAAGCCTCCACGTGTTAAACACCTGGGTGGTTTCTATACTTCACTGAATTTCCTCCCTGTGCTTTTATGTTGGCAAAACTGCTAAAATGGGGATTGTAGGACACGACAAACTAGTGCCATAGAGAAAAGCTATGGTCTGTAAGTATTACACTGAAAAGATCTGCAAAATATCTGACCAGAGCTGGCTTATTATTGTGGACAATTCAATTGTAATTAAGAGCAGATTATGATGATTAACAACTAGATCCCATTCTGCAAGTTCCTTTCTGTTTCTAAATTGCTTTTTACAGATCTGCTTCAACTCACAATTTGGGCTAAGGAAAAGAAAAACCAGTGCACTACCAGGAGCCCTGCTATTGAGTGGGCTCCGCTCTGGGCAGCTACATGGGCAGGGTCTGCACTTCCACCCCATTAGCAGAGCCCCTGAAGACAGAGCAGCCTATCTGCACCTGTAAAGATTTATTTAGTCTCCGAAACCAGCTCTACTCTGCCCTACAGGGGTCACTTTGAGTCAGGAATCAACTCGGTAAGTGGCCTATGTGGGGTTTATTTGTACTGTAATGTCAACTGGATGTCAATTTGGACCTGGCTCAAATTCAGTGTTTTGGGCCTCTGAAGCCTTCACTTTTAACTGACATATTTATATATAATCTGATCAAGTTTTACATTGATCCATAAGAGCAACACCTGAGTGCATTTTACATCTCAATTCCCAATCGCTGTTGCTTAACACCTTGAACATGAAGCCCTCAAGCCCTGTGGGCACCCTGAAACAAGGGTGTGCTGTGAAAAGAAGGTGCCACCGCTTACATTTCCTCTGCACGGCTGCTTTAAAACGACCGCGACTTTTTTCTCACCAAGTTGCAGATTATGTGTATTCTATAAACATTTCCTGGTCTTAAGCTCCTTTTTAAGAATGTTACAACTTGAGAGTTACAGTCTGGACTTTCTGGGGTTCTCCTCTAGAGATGTCCAGCAAGCCTGCCTCTGACAGGCAGCGTAACATCTCCAAACTCCCTGCCAACCAGTGGATCCCAACTCAAGGCCACTCTGTAAGGCAGGGTAGACCTGCCCCTGTGGGTTCCCGAGACTTTAGCTCTTGAAGGGTGTGGTAAGCCTCGTCTTTATCCTGTGGAGCAGCTGGAGAGGCTGGTGATTTCGAACTGATAACCTTATGGGTGGCAGCCAACACATAATTACTAAGCCAAAGGGACAGAAAAGGGGTCAAGGGTCCTAACACTCACGATATGCCAAGTATGTGTGAGAGCTGGGGAACCCAAGGAAAACAGTAACCCAGTAACATCAGCGCAGGCTAATGGAGGTGTTTATTACTCAAAGGGTTCCCATCTTTAATAAAGGAAACAGTACTTACTTTACACAATTTGGAAGAGGATTAAGAATGACAATACACAGAAGGTGCTTAGCAGTGTCTTGGTACATATAAATTAACACTCAGTAATGGTGCTGTCATCATGACCCCCCAAAACACCACTAATATCATGGATCCTACCACAATTAACACTTAAAGCTAAGGGGCTCAGGGCAGAAGGGGCACTACTTAAATGGAATCACACCCAGTTCACTGCCCTTGCTGATGATCCGGCACTCCTGAGTTTACAATCACCCCCCCTAACACATGGACCATCCATGTTGATGCAATACCACTTTACAAAGAGGCTTGGGTGTGACAACCCAAGGCATCATTGCCTACATTGCAAAAACACACCCAAATGAAACACAGGATATGGTTCAGAAGAAAGCTCAAAAAAAACCACACCCGCTGTCATCGCGTCAATTCCCACTCATGGTGACACTAGTTTACTAATTTCTAAGGGAGCAGCAGGGAAAGGAAGGAACACACAACACACACACACACACACACACACACACACACACGCCGTAAAATAAAATGATCCAACTTAACGGAACACAGCACTTCAAAGAAAATGTACCTAGCCCGGTAAAAAATTTTTAATAAGTAAGGAATCCCAAATTACACTAAAAAGTGCCTTGGGTTGTTTGTTGTTGTTTTAAGGCAGAGATTAAACAACAGCAAGGCGATGGCACACTGCTCAATATCGTCTTGTTACGTGGGGCGGTGAAAGTAAGCCTAGCTGTAAAGGATCATTTTAAATTGAAAAAGACTGTATGGAAACTGGTGAGACGCCCGCTCCTCCACGACGGAAAGTCAGGGAGAATCGGAAGAGGAACAAAACCTCGTAGGCGCCCCAGAAGCGCTCGGGAGAAACTAGCGTGCTCTGGGGGGGCCCCTGAGACACGTCCCCAGGTAGGAAACGAAGCGTGGGTGCAACCGCGCGGGGACCGATCCCAAGAGGAGTTTGCGGATCGGGATGAGTCCCGGGAACCCGCTCGGAGGCGTCGTCGGGGGAAACCTGGGGCCCAAATGAGGGGCGGTGGCCTTGAACCTCTGACCCGGGCGGGGCCGGGCCGGCGGTCCCCGGGCAACTACCTCTCACTCACAATTCAATCATCCACTCTCCTTCCAGCAACTCTCTCCAGCTCTCGTCCGTGATGACGCGCACGTCGCCCCGCCGCCCGAGGGCCCCGGGAGCCCCGCCGAGCAGAACCGCCAGGATGGCCAGGGAAACCACGAGCCTCGGCGAGGGCGCCATGTCGGCCGCTCGCCCACCCGCAGCCAGCGCGGCGGCCCCGGCCTGCGCGCAGCAGCTCCCCACTTCCGCCCTGGCCTCGCTCCCCGCCCATGCGCAACGCGCACGCGCGCGCGTCTGCGAGAACCTCACTGCGCATGACGGAGCCGGGTGCCAGAGCGTTGTTGATTTCCGACTGAATAACGCCCTTCCCGAGTGCGCATGACAGAAAACGGTACCTTCGCCCCGGCCCTCGCCCGCATCAGCATTGCTGAGATCGGGGAGGGAAAAGGAGGGCGCGATGCAGAAAGCACAGCGGTGCTTTGGAGGGAGAAGCCAGTATTGGGGCCCTACGTGATTAGGGACCGCGATAGGAGGCTATAGATCTTTATTGGGCCATCTTTCTGCAGGGGAGTGGCTGATGGATCTGAACTGCTCCCGAGGCGGTTAGCAGCCCAAGGCATAACGCCACCAGGGCTCGGTGAGGGTTACACAAGATAATGATAACAGTTTAAACTAAGCCAGTTATTTAGTGCTCTGTGGAGTTCTCATCTGTTAAGAAATTTTGGACTAAAATTCATGGATTTTATAGGCGTCAGATTGTTGGTTTGTTTGCTTCTGGAGAATTATAGACAGGAAGTGCAGGAGTTACTAGGGGCTCTTGCCACATTCTTTATTTTGGTCTGGACAGTGGTGGCAAGAGTGTATGTTTTGGTCCTTCTGTGCCTGAAGTCAGTTCCGACTCTCAGCAACCTATATACAACAGAACAAAACACCTCCGTAATCTTTCCTGTGGGAGCCTATTGTTTGCAGTCACTGTCAATCCATTTTCTTGAGAGTGGCCCTCTTTTACTTCGGCCCTCTGCCAAACATGATGTTCTTCCCCAGGCACCAGTCCCTCCTAACAGCAGGCCTGTCATAGGAAAGACAGGCTCCTATCGCACCGCCAGGCTTGCATTCCGGCATCCATTCTCCTTGGTCCGGTTGTATGCATATGTAAAGGAGAACGGTGGAGCTGTACATTGAAAGTCAATGTGCTTTGTGATGTTTACTCTGAATAGTACGGTAATCCTTGATTTAAAAAACAAATCCGTTGATGAAGAGATCTCTAGGTCAAAAGTTGAACAGAAGTGGGAGCCTTGGTTTTGAACTGGTTAAGCTCGGCTAGCTGCAAGGCCAGCAGTTTGAAACCATCAGCCCGTTGGGGGAGAAAGACCGGGCTTTCTATTCCAGGAAAGAGTTAGTCTCTATTTCACAGGGGCAGTTTTACCCTGTTCTGTAGGGTCACTGTGAGTGGGCATCCCTCTAATGTTATAAATACAAATGCAAATTAGAATGTGTCTTCCCTTGTTCTAGGGGGAAAGGAGACCCAAATTCAAATATCATTTATAGAAACCCACTTATTAAATCTTTAACAGGACAAAAACAAGGCAAAGACTAGTCATCTTGATGATAGAGACCATGAGGCTGAGGCCCTAAGGGACTCGCAGCCACATGGCCACTTAAATCAGGCATGGAGGACAAAGGAAGCTGCCACACAATCTTGATTGGTGACAAATGAATTCATCACAGTTGCAGACAGAACTATAAAATGATGAAAGGAGCCATGATTGAGAGAGTACACTACTGCAGATATAAAAGTTGACAAAATTGGTCCAGGGCCCTGAGACCTCCTTACTCACTATTATCCTTCAAATAATAGTATCCAGGATAGTGGTAGCAATTCACTTTCAAAGCCACTCTGCCTGAGGACAAAGCTTTTCACATGGCCAAATACTTTGTTGCAGAAAGAACTCTGGATGCTGAATCTGTATCAACTCAAGCTCAGGGCAGTGGAGTTGATTCCAACTCACATGAAGGCTCAGAATGGACTGCACAGTCCCACTGAAAAGCGTAGCCTTCCAAGAAACGTAGTGCTCGGAACTGAACCCCTAACACAACCCCCAGCGACCCCATGCATTACAAAACATCCCCCACACCTGCACCCTCTTGGGATCATCGTCTTGTAGGAGAGTCTAAAATTAGCAGCATTTGGTATAAGTAGTCTAAAAGCAAAGCCTTAACCTCATTTTAAATTTTTTTATATGAGTCTGGAATCCATGCTAAATTTTAAAGCTGCCCTTTCCAATAGCAGTTCCTCTAACCTTAATGTCAACCTAAGGAATGATTCCCTTTTTTCTGAGCTCTAGCAGGGGATGATATTACAATCTGTTCCCAGAGGGTCTTTCCCTATGGTCAGAAGGATCTCTATGCACAGCATTATATCTAAATATACTTTGGCTAATTAATTGTGGTAAATAACTTCCCTATTCCTTATCTTTCAGACACCAACAGCCATAATCAGATGGACATAAAGCAGCTCAATGGAGACTCAAGTAGTCCAGGCCCCCACAAGCGCAGAGCCTTTCAGTCAACATAAGCAACTTAATAACCCCCCACAGCAAAACGTCCTGGCTTCTGGAAGCATAAAACCCCTAACACTTCCTGTAGGTCTGAGCAGTGAATTAAAAATTGCACACCCTTTTAAGTAGAAGCATATGTGAATTCAACCAATTCCCAGTCTTATTCTGCCCCTTTTAATGAATTGTTGATCTATTCCCCTATAATTCTGGGAACCCCCAGATATTTGAGGAGTCAGAGATGAGGAATTGCCCTTTGACTCCTTGCTCAGTGTAATAAAGCCAGGTTCGCTTTCTCAGAGACAGTCCAGAGATTGGATTTCTGTGTGTACTGGGCAGGAACCCTGTTTTAGATTCACTTACAAATGCAATTTTAATAACAGGTTATCAGAAAAATCTGTCGTTTCTTATGAGCATCCTGTAAGAAACGGAAACGCACCTGTTGCTGTCGTGCTGTCTGATCAATTCCGATTCATAGTGACCCCATGAGCAAGAGAAGCAAACACTGCCCGGTCCTCCGTCATCCCCACACCTGCCCTTGTGTTTGAGCCCCTTGCTGCGGCCACTGTGTCAATCGGGTTGAGAGTCTTCCCTTTTTTGGATGACCCTCCACTTTAGCAAGCATGACATCCTTTGCCAATCATGTAACCCCATTTAACCAATCACGTGATCCCATGTATATTCTATCCACCTATCCCTGTTGAATCCTCACTTTTAGCTTTCCTGCCTCTGGCTCCACTGGGAGTTTGTAGTTCCTGCTTCAACTGGACACAAATATTCTCTGCTTCATTGCCCAGGGAGCAACCATCTTTATTCTAAGAATCTGGACATCTTCCCAATCCTGATCTCCCTGTGTGTCCTAGAAATCTCTGAATTTGACTTTTATAGAGTGTGTTCTCAGCCGAGGATAACCTTCAAGATCAAGCACAACATGGTAACAGATACACAAGTGATTTTTAAACATTTTCTTGTGAGTTGGGTGAAGGCTGAAAACTCAGAAATCTTTAGTCTCCCTCTCCATCTCCTGTCTCAGTCAAGCGTCTCAAGCCAAATCTCCATGCTAAATCCTGGTTCTCTCTCCTTCAATCCTTAATCTACTCTATTAGAACGTTCTTTAAACTCTACACCCAAACAGATCCTGAATTTCTTTGTAACACATTCCATGTCCACAGCCAAAATCCTAATCCGAGCTCTCAACAATTACAGTGAGTTCCTAACTGATGTCCCTGAATCCTGTCTAGAAGATCAAGCCACTTCGCCTGAAAATTACCCAATAGCTTTTCAGTGCACTTAAAATTAAACACACGTTTCTTCAACTCCTTACTCTCAATTTCAAACCCAACACAAATGCGTTCTCCCGTAGCACCTCTCTTTGTTCCTCTTCCTGCCACACCCTTCAGCGGTTCTTTGAACTTGAAGGGAAACACTCCCCACCCTAGGATCTTGGCACTTCCCTGTTCTTCTGCCCGGACTATTTATCTCAGGAGCTCACAGAACTGTTTCTTGTAATTGCTCTTCATCCTCCATTTCTCCCTGGGTGATATAAACTTGATGCGCTTGTTGGGCCATCTTTTTAATTATTATCTGACTTCGTCCCTTCTCCCAGTGAGAATGTAAATTCTTTGAGAGCAGAAAGTGCTATCACTGGTTTTGCCTCTCTAGTGGGCCCAGTGTTAGACAGATGAACACTACATCCGATGACTTGTGTCCTTAAAGGAGAGGGATCTTGGAGGCAGAGAACCACACGTGGAGGGAATAAGGCCATGTGTCAACAGAGGCAGAGATGAGAAAGATGGAGCTGCAAGCTAAGGCACACGAGCACTGCCAGCAATAACTAGAAGCTAGGAGAGGGGCTCACTCAGAGCTTCCAAAAGGAACCACCTTGCGGACACTGGTTTCTTGCTTTCGCTCCCAGAATGGTGAGGTGAGATCTGCAATCGCAGTCCTAAGAAATTGATAGACCTTCCTATCAGCATTGCTGCTGCTTTCCATTTGTCCCGTGGATGTGAGTTATCATCTGATTTCATGTCTTCATTCCTATACAACTTTATTCCTACACACCTACTTATTATGAGTCCAAAAATGCAATTACTTTATGCAATTGCTTTTTGAATCAGTTAAGAAAAGTATAATTTATACTGTCTTTTATAATTACATAATTATCTTTACCAGTGCTCTGTATGTATTGTGTGGATTCCAATTACCATCCAAGGTCACTTAATTTCAGCCTGAAGAATTGTATTTATGGAGAGACTGCTAGAAATGAATTCTCTCCATTCTTTGTGAATGTCTTTATTTTGTCTTCATTTTAGGTGGATAATTTAGCTGGTCTGAGATTATAAGCTGATAGTTTGGGGTGTTGCTTTTTTTTTTTTTTTTTCGTTCAGTACTTTGAGTTTGTCATCCATTCCCTTTTGTTCTCTAGTGTTCCTGATAAGAATTCATCTGCTACACTTATTAGAGTTCCAATGTGTATGACGTCACTTTTTCTTTGTCAGATTTTGACGTCTGCTAAACTTATTAGAGTTCCAATGTGTATGACGTCAGATTTTTTTCTTTGTCTTTGCCTTGTAGCATTTTTTACTCTGATCTATCTAGGCACGGATTTCTGTGTTTATCTTACTTGAAGTTTGATACTTT